TTTTCCTATGACCACAGTGTATTTTTTCTTTTAACAAATTCAGGTTTTTTCAGGGGACTTTCTTTTAGTATACCTTTGAGTGATTTTTCTATTCCATTTTTCTATGTCTGAAGTACCTTTATGCTGTTTTGTTTTAATCTGTCTTCCCTGCCTATTAGCTTCTTTCTGATTGTAGAAATCAGTATGCCTTTTTAAAATCTGCATTCATTATGATAATCTCAAGCTTTTCTATTAATAGCATAATTTTAAATTGCCTATTATAAAATATTTCATGAATATAGAAATAGAGGTGAGTATAAATATAAGGTGTAAAGAATACTAAACAAATAAACACATTTATATACACACCCAGTTTAAGATCAAGCAAGCAGTTTACTATTGAAAACATTTGAACTTTTTTATAAAATGAATTATGTTATATTTTCTTCAGCAGCCTGCTTCCTCCCTCACCCCACAGCTTAAAATTCTGCTTGTTAAATTAATTTATGTTAACACATATATCTCCAGTCCTTTCTTTCTCACTGTTGAATAGTATTCAGGGTTACCGCCATTTATTCATTCGTTTCACTGTCACTAGTTACTTCATTTTATTTTAAAATTTCATTTTATAACTACCAATATTTTTAAAAATTTTAGGACAGGTTATCTTCTATATGTGTTCAAAATTTTGTCTAGAATGTATATTTCTAGGAGGTGATATTTTTAAGCCATAGAATTAAGGATATTGTTAGCTCTAGTATGCCAAATGCTTTTGTAAAATTATTATATATAATTTGAGTGTAATATATTATTTTCTTCGATATTGTGTATTATTCTATAACTAGAGGCCTGATCACCTCTAACTGCTCCCCTACCAGCCTGATCATCACTAACTACTCCTTTGCTGGTCTGATTGCCCCTAACCGCCTCTGCCTCACCCCACACTGGGACCCAGGATTCCCTCCTCTGGCCAGTCACAGGCACCTGGGACCCGAGCTTCCCTCCTTCTGGCCGGCCGCAGGCACCCAGAACCTGGGCTGGCTTTGCCCGGTCCAGCCACAACCACAGGGGACCGTGGGCAGGTGGCTTTGCCTGGGTCGCAGCCACAGGTGCCTGGGACTGCAGGGTGGGCGGCTTGTCCCTCTCCCAGGCCGCAGGCACAGCCGCTGGTGCCCGGGACTGCAGGGACCATAGGGCATGCAGATTGTTCCTCTTCCAGGCCATAGGTGCAGGCGCAGCCACTGGTGCCTGGGACCACGGGGCAGGTGGCTTGTCCCTCTCCCAGGCCACAGCCTGGCTGGTCCCCATTCCTCTCTCATGAGCTCATTTGTGCCTGGATGGTCCCTATTCCTCTCTCACAAACTCATTTGTTCCTGGCTGGTCCCCATTCCTCTCTCCCCAGTGTTAAGTGGCTGAGCCCTCATGGTGTGATGGCATGAGAGTGTGAAGACCATTTGCATATTAGCTTTTTATTATACAGGATTATGTTGCTTTGCTTCTTGATTTGTTTCCTTGGGTCTGAAATCTCTCTTTTAAATCTCATTCTAATGATTTATCATCTTGTCTTTAAATTCTTCTTCCATTTAATCTATATTCTCTTTAACTTATATATTCCTTTGTTCTTTTTCATTTGATTTGGTCCTTGAAATAACACTGTGAAACAGGTAATATTTTTATTCTCATTTTATAGGAGAAAAAAATGGATTTCCAAGAAATTATGTGTCTAGGCCACAGTCTTACAGCTAGTGAGTCCAGGACTCACAACCAGCACCTAAGTATTCCACCTTTAAACTCTTGCTGTTTCTACTGCTTTAAGAGAAAATATAATTGAGGGCTACATTGTGTAGTATGGCCTCTAAGACTAATTAAGCTTCCAAACTGAGCAGGCAAAGATAACCAACACTTACATAACACGTGTAACTCAATGAAAATCCTCCCCAATAAGATAAGAACAGCAGGATACCAGGTGACATTATCCCTGACCTATCTTGGAAGTTATTGTGATAGTATAAGGAGGAATTCTACTGCTACTACCAGAGAGGAGAGAGAGAGAGAGAGAGAGAGAGAAAGAGAGAGAGAGAGAGAGAGAGAGAGAGAGAGAGAGTTAAGCAGCTGATAACAAGTGACAGGACTATTGAAACAGGCTTTTGAAACCCCATGTAATACCAAGGAAACAGGATGGAAACAAGAATATGACATGGGTTTTCTTGTACCTTGATGGTGTCTTGGGAGAAGAGCCTTTATTTGGAATCTCCCTCTATCCTCAACGCCCTCTGTCCTGAAGAACCAGGTCACACAGTGACAACCGGTGCAACAATGAATACGATGGCGGACGGAGCCTTCTGATGCATAAGGGCCTCTTCCAGCACTTGGAGGGAGAGACCAGAGTGCCCCTTTTCCTGGAAAGGACAGTGGCACTGAGTTTCCATTTTGGAAGAAAGGTATAGGAAGTGACATAAATGATCTCTACTGAGAATGATGTAAACCAAGGGTGAAGGACAGCAAGACCAACTAAAAAACTATTATATGTTTTATCTCTGAAATTGGCTGCTCTTGTGTCTTAAAGCTGGTTGAGTTTAGTTCCTACTTTCAACTGTCTGTCAAGAAATTATATTCAAACATAGGAATATCCAATAACTATTTTCATTGTTTCCTAAAGGTTGTTCTATGGGAGACCCATAAATTTTCAATGAAAAAAAAAACTGCAAAATATTCAAATAAGTTTGGATGTATTTTATTTAACCATGTCAACAATATGGTCTAAAACATATTACAGAAAAAAATATTATTTTTATATTAATTAATAAATATGTAATTGCCAAATATATATTTCTATAAACAGAGATGCACTAAAATGCTGCTAGGGAATATACCCTGACCACATCTGGGTGGTGGGAATACAAGTGAATTGCATTTTCATATTTTTACTCATTTTCATTTCTTTTTTTTAGTGAACAATATTTTTAAGAAATTTAACATGACAACAATAACTTTAATACTTAGCCCTTAATATGCTTTATGTCACATAGGCCTAAGAAGTAGGCACTGCTATTATTATTGTAGTTATATAAATGCTAGTTTTAAATTCCAGATTTAAAGCTATGAGGAACTGGACAAGCTGGTTCAGGCAGAAAAGAAAAAGTGGAAATGAGACATATCTGGAAGGCAGAAATATGGAAACTAATTGTCTGTGGGAAGCAACTATGTATGCCTCCAGGATACTGAAGCTTATAGTATTAGTGACAAAAACAGAATCAAGGAAATCCAAGATCATATAAAGATTTTAATGAAATTTAAAGGAATGGTTACTTTTCAAGAAGAAGCTGGGGTTGGCTCTTTTGATAATTGAGGAGGTGGCAAAGCACACTGGTAGAAATGTTTGGTGCTGGCCGGAACTCCGGAGAGAGAGCAACCTAAAGATGTAGTGTGGGCAGCCATCCACGGTGGAGTCTTTTTGAGAATTGCTCATGTGAATGGGCTCTCCTGCCAGGTCTCTATACAACCCCAAGAACTTGACCAACGTGTGGAATGATGATAGAATGGAATTCCAAGAGTCCTTGTGCATGGATGAATGTTGACAAAGGATGACATTTTCAAATAGTTTTCTTTATTGTTTTTCCTTAGAGATTCCTTGATTTCTTTTTTTTTTAAATAAAAGTAGAAATGACATTTAATAAGGTTACACCCTAGAAGATAGGATTTGAGGTGAAAGATACCCTAGCCACATGAAGATGTGATCAGAAATTGAGAATTGAGTCATGGTAAATTCATGGTATACTGCATGGAGGGTGAGGAAAGGGATCAAGGTAGGAAAATACAAAATGAAGGTCTCTGACTATGTATAAATACAATGAGCAAAGATGTAAGAGTCTTGGGGTCTCAAAGAACCCCAACTTAAAAAGAAATGTGCTGTATATTATGCTGGCACGTGTAAGGTATTTATTAGGAAATATTTTTTTCAGGCAGTAAAAAGACATAAATATAATCATACAATCACCTTGTCAAATTGGGCATTAGGAAGACCTATTTTAGAAAGATAATAAATTCCCTTCTCTTCAAGGCCCCTCTTTTAAGTGAGTTCAAAGTTATTAAATAATATATAGAGGGCATCAAAGAAAAATGAGTACATAACTGTAAAATGTACTTCTAAAGACAGGTTAATGAGTATGGCATTATTTTTGGAATCAATAGATCAAGAGATAACTTAATAAGGATCAAGATAATTAATTTGGGCAAGGTTATCATACAGAATTTTTTGGCATCTTTATTGCAGGCAGAAAAATGGGAAATAAGCTGAAACCATTAGTAAAGAGTAATCCCCAAAAGTACCTGTGCATATACAGGGTGGGGCCAAAATAGGTTTATAGTTGCGTCTACAGAGTTTATTCCTTATTATTATTTATTATTTTATTATTTATTTGTATCACAACTGTAAATCTACGTTTGCCATTCCCTGTATACACACACATACACAGATCACACATACTTACACATATAAATATACAGTGTTTGTATAAAGAGTGTGGAAGGGTATGTGTCAAACTCTTAATAGTTATTATTTGTATGTGGTACGATTATAGGTGTTTTTATTTGTCCTATATCTGAATTTTCTCACTTATCTATATTCAACATTAAATATTTGTGCAATAAGGAAAAACACCTGCCCCAGCCGGGTGGCTCAGTTGTTTGAAGCATCATCCCATACAACAAAAGGGTCAGGATGCCTGCCTAGGCTGTGGGTTCCATCCCAGGTTAGGGTGGTATGACAGGCATCCAATCAATGTATCTCTCTCATATTGACGTCTCTCTCTCTTTCTCTCTCCCTCCCACTTTCTCTAAAACTAAATTAACATAGTCTCAGGTGAGATTTAAAAAAAAAACCTGTTTGAAGTGTTTATAGAAAAAAAGATATGTCACTTCCCTCTCATCCCTATCACACTGTCAACCCCTAACCTATGAAACTTGTTTTTTATAAGATTCTATATAACAATAATACTGCTACTCTCTTTTATCTTTTTCAGATACTAGTGAAAAATAACCATCTTTCAGACAAGATCATTGTTCTGCCAGGGATAATTGAAGAAATCTCACTTCCCGAGGCTGTAGATGTGATCATTTCTGAACCAATGGGATACATGCTGTTCAATGAAAGGATGCTGGAGAGCTATCTTCATTCCAAAAAATGGCTGAAAGCTAATGGTGAGTTGGCCAATCCTGGTTTAGAAAATAGGCTAACTTGCCTGTAAAATCTGCCAAGAATCCTGTCAAAAATTTCCCCCATTCAATTCTGACAGAAAGGAGAGAACATTGCCGTTGCGCCAATTCTTTTATTTTCTCATCTTATTCCATAACACATGAGATAGTCTCCAACCGACCGGACGTTGATGGCAGTGTGCTGCACAGGATTCAATACAGTATAGGTGACCAGCTCAGAGTTATGTTTTCTTGTCCTGGTTCTATCACATTCTTCCTTAAGGGACTTGGCCTAATACTCGACTGTTTGACTTTGATTTCTTCACCTATATGGTTAAAAATAACCTCTAAAGCCCTATGAAGTGTTTGCTTTCTGTAATGTAATAAACTCTCTGGGGTCTGTTAGTTCTTTCTAACATACTCTTTTTTTTTTACTGCTTATATTTTCCCCTATGATCACTACTTATAATCAAGATAAAAATATATAAAGTCCAATAATTTTTGTGCTTACTAAGTGTCTGCATGCACTAATCAATTTGCATGATTTTGTAAAAACCTTACAAAGTGTGAATGACTGTTGGTTCTTTCTAACATACTCTTTTTTTTTACTGCTTATATTTTCCCCTATGATCACTACTTATAATCAAGATAAAAATATATAAAGTCCAATAATTTTTGTGCTTACTAAGTGTCTGCATGCACTAATCAATTTGCATGATTTTGTAAAAACCTTACAAAGTGTGAATGATGGAGGTTTTTAACTTCTTGGAAGGGTTAATGTTGAGGTTCTTGTGATTTTATATTTCTACCCCGGGGGCATTTGGCAACATTTGGAAACAATTTGGGTTTCATGACTGAAGGCGGGGCCACTACTGGCATCCAATGGGAGAAGCCAGGGATGCTGCTAAACACCCTGCAGAGTACAGTACAGCCTCTATGCATCCAAGCGGCATCCCCCTAAAATGCCAGTAGTGCCAAGATTGAGACCTGGCTCAGGGAGATAGACTTGAAAAGTCCTGGCACAATGAGGAAAACAACCGAACAAGGGCACACCTTTAATCAGTGACAGAAAGACCCTTATACATGCTGTCTACAAGAGATACACTTCAGATTAAACTGAAAGTAAAGGAATGGAAAGAGATAGTTCATGAACATGAAAACAAACAAGCAAAAAAAAAAAAAAAAAAAAGCTGGGGTAGCAATACTTACACCAGACAAAATAGACTTTAAAACAAAGGCCATAATAAGAGACAAAGAAGGGCCTAGCAATTCTATTTCTGGGTATTTAACCAAAGAAACCCAAAATTCTAAATCTAAAAGACATATACATCCATATGTTTATGGCAGTATTACTTGTAATAGCCAAGATATGGAAGCAATCTAAGTGTCCATCAGTGGAAGAATGGGTGAAGAAGAAGTTGTGCATATAGTATATAATGGAATATGACTCAAGCATAAAAAAGGATGAAATCTTGCCATCTGCAACATGGAATGACCTAGAGGGTATTTTGCTGAGTAAATAAGTCAGACAGAGGAGGGGAAATACTATGTAATATCACTTATATATGAATCTATAAAACAAAATAAATGAACAAACAGAATAAAAACAGACTCGTAGATGCAAAGAACATTTTGATGGTTGCCAGATAGGTGAGAAATTGGGGAAAAGGTGAAGGGACTAAGAAGTACAAGTTGGTAGTTACAGAGCAGTCATGGGGATATAAAGTACAACATAGGGAATATAGTCAGTAATATCATAATAACTATATGGTGTCAGATGGGTAGTAGATTTATCAGGGCAATCCAATTAATAAGTTATACAATGTCTAATCTCTGGGTTGTATACATGAAACCCCTAATATAATATTGTATATCAACTGTAATTGAAAAAAATTATTTAAAGTTTTTTTTAAAAAGTGACAGAGCAGGTATTTGACCCCAGGTCTGTCTGACCTGCATCCCACACTCACAAATCCTGTACACACACTGACTTTCTACTCTTCACCAGAGAGAGTGGAAGGAATTCTAACAACCCATATTTTTCAAATAAGATGTAGAAGGTAACTGAATTGCAGCTTCTTACCTTAATTTTACTTATTCTAAATTGCTCCCTATTTTGATATCCAAGGAAGACAAAATAGGGGATAAAAGTACAACTCATACTTAACCAAGTGACACAGTATATGCATACAAATAAAGCTTGAGACTCATCCATACATGTTTTCAAAATTTAGGGATTCAGAAATATGCACTTGAAAAAACCTCATGTGAAAAAATAACTAAATAAACTTAGGAAAGGATACCCGACGTCAAGAACTTCACTAGTGTTCCTGTTGTAAAACAGCCCAGGTTGAACTTGGAAGCCTTGTGTCCACGCGATAAAATGGGACTGTGGGAGAGAAAGGAAAGGAGCAAAGCTGCTTGGATTTCCTCTTCAGTGCCCCCCAGGGAAGAATTTTTATACTTCTTTTCTGGAGAATTTTTCAAATGGTGAGGTGCTTTTGTGTGATGAGATTTTACACATAGTTAATTAACGTGCAACTGATTGAGTCTCTCTAAGCTGAATATTTCCCCAGGTAGTTGAAGTGGATATGAAATTTTATATTGGGCTATATATTTTTAACTAGACAAGTACAAATAAATGCTGATTTTACCAGCTTTTTACCCTGGGTGTTCCTGAGGGAAGAATGATTGCATTTTTCCCTAATTATTTTGATTTCCTATCAAAATAAGACATAGTTTACAACATCAAATAATAATAAAAGGCTTATAATGAAAAATAAGAACCCTCTGCCACATCTCCTCCTATGCCGAGACTGCTACCTGAAGGCTGTCCTTTTCAACTCTATTCTCTGTTTCTTCTGTTATTTACAACGTTTATATGTAAAGTTATCCTATTGCTATTCTTGTCACTCTGTGGTTGAGAAGTTAGCTTTCCTACATATCAGCTCTCTCCCTTCTTGATACACCCTCCCTTCCCCCATCCTCTCAATATATTTATACAGGTCCTCAATACCTTATCCTAACCTTTGGGGCTAGATATGCTTCAGAATTCAGAATCTGGAGGACTTTGGAAAGGTAACACACTCATATACCATGTATTACTTAATGCCTCCAGTCAGATATGAGGCGACACTCCATAATGAAACACATTATATGTATCTCTGCTACAAAACATATGAATATGGATGCCAAGTGAGATAAATATAGACTATAAATCAACTCACATCAGTTCAGGTCAGGTTTTGACATCAAATGATGTTGCAAACTTACAAAAATCTGTTGCTTTGCAGAGCAGAGCTTTTTAAAATTCAGAATTTAATATAAAGAAATATGGACCTAGCTCAGCCGGTGTGGCTCATTGGTTGAGCATCTACTTAGGAACCAGGAGGTCATGGTTTGATTCCCGGTCAGGGCACATGCCAGGGTTGTGAGCTCGATCTCCAGTAGGGAGCATGCAGGAGGCAGCCAATCAGTGATGCTCTCTCATCTTTAATGTTTCTGTCTCTTTCTCCCTCTCCTTCCTCTCTAAAATCAATAAAAATATATTTTTTAAAAAAGGAAACGTGGACCTAGGTAATTATTTGGTTAAATGAGTAATCAATGTGTTTATATTACTGTCGCAATGTAAATAGTGTGCAGTGCCAAATCAGATGATATAGTGGATGCGTATGGATTATACATTTTCTCATGCAATCTTTTGCTTTTCCTGGAGCTAATTGCCTTTTATTTTCATTGGCTTAGTTTTCTATATACTCATTACTAATTTTTTCCATGTTCCAAGAGGTCTGACAGATCCTATCAGTATTTATTCTATGAAGCCTTCCTCCTGGGGCCCTCTGTCCTCTACCAGTCCTATTACATGGCTACCACACTTTGACTTTCTCTCCCCATTCTTGTGTCTTACACCATCATTTCCACAAAAAATATTCTTTAAACAGGTTCTGGAGAAAGGAAATGTTAGAAGTTACTTTTTCTTGAGTCCATGGGTTATCATATTGCTGGTTAGAGAATTTTAACTTGAAAACAATTTTTTTTTTCAGTATTTTCAAGGCGCCTTTTTCTGGTTTCTGGTTTCTAATATTGCTATTGAGAAGTCCAATGCCATTCTGACTCCTGATGCTTTAGAGTGGCATACTTTTCCCCTGCGGACACTTTTAGTATCTTGTTTTTATTTCTAGTCTTCTTAGTACGAACTCTTAAAGTTTTTGTGCTGGACATGTAGTGAGTACTTTGAATCAGAAGACATTTTCTTTAATTCTTGGAATTTTTAAATATTTCACCATTGATGATTTCCTCTCCTCCATTTTTATCCGATATCTTTGGAATTCCTATTAGGCTTGGGCTCAGAACATCCTTCTCTGAAGCTTCCCAAGTTTACATATTACTTTTCTAAGGTTGTTTAATAGCCGTCTATCTTGAAATTGAAAACCCCCCACGCAATCATTGTTTGACACCAACGCATGAGATTTAGAAGGTGATATAGGAATGATGTTACAATCATGTTTTTTCTCTACCTCTGACAATGCCCTAAATAAAACAATCTGTTTTATTTTAATAGACTTTGAGTTAAAGTATGGGGCCATTGACTATCGAAGGGCATTCCATCCCTGGATTTTGTCCTTCTACTTATTAGCTCTGAGATTGCGGCTGAGACACTTAAATTTCCCTGTTCCTTATTTTTCCTCATTTATGAAATAGGCATAATAATAAAACCTACTTTAATATTGTTATGAGGATTAAATGAATTAAAACATAGAAAACCCAGAAAAAAAGCTCATTGCAAAGTTAACCAAATCAAGACATTTTAGGTATTATTATTATTATTAGCTTTGTGGCAGCATCTCCAGTCTCTTAGGCAGTCCTCATTTTTGAAATAGTGTTAATAGTTCATCTGTCTTTCATGTGCAGTTTAATAAATAACTATTAAAAAGGGTCTCCCTAAAAATACAAGAATAATAATGCTGATCACCAAGTCTACCTGCTCAGAAAGGTCTTATTTCAGACATGCTAGTCTAGGTGTTTGCTTGCCAGCCAAAGAATCTGCCTTTCTCCTGGTGACTATAGATGTCAGAACAAAATACAAGCGTGGGTGTACCAGCATGGAGGATGGTGGGTGAGCGTGCATATAAGCGTAGATTCCAGTAGCACCTAAAAAGATAGTCAATATGATTATAGACGGACAAGTCTGAGAAGGGAAATAAAAATACGATAGAATGATGAAATGTTTATTATTTTCAAAGCCAACTTTCTTTTATAATGAATAAGAGAGAAAAATTAAATAAAGGAAGTGCCCAGAATTCAAAGCAGAATACATACAGAAAAGAACAAAGCCACTAGCTAGGAAGGCAAATAAGCCAGGTTGAATATCTCACCTAGGACTGTATAAGCTTTTAGCAGCACATAGCTTAGGGACTTGATTTGGTATTCTTTCTTATATCCCCTCTGATCTTCTGCCTAATTTTCTTATCTTTGCTTTGAGGTGAAATTGTATTTTAGCCTGTTGTGTAATAACTGAACTAGATGAAATAATGGAAATGGTCAAGAAGCAGGTAAGTGGACCGTTCAATCAGAAGGCAGTACGAGTCAACTTTTGGGTCTGTTGTTTTTTGCTCATTAGGAAAGATGTTCCCGACATTCAGTGACATCCACTTGGCACCCTTTTCTGACGACCAGCTCTACATGGAACACTACTCCAGAGCCAACTTTTGGTAATGTTCTCTCTTTCTTTCCTTTTCCTTTAGCAATGGTTCTCAACCTTCCTAATGCCGCAACCCTTTAATACAGTTCCTCATGTTGTGGTGACCTCCAACCATAAAATTATTTTCGTTGCTACTTCATAACTGTAATTTTGCTACTGTTATGAATCGTAATGTAATTATATATGTTTTCCGATGGTCTTAGGTGACCCCTGTGAAAGGGTAGTTCGACCGCCAAAGGGGTCGCAACCCACAGGTTGAGAACTGCTGCTTTATAGTAAAATAGAGTTTCTGAAATGATTGGCATTTGGGGTCATATATTGGGACTGAGGGCTGTCCTCTGCACTGTAGAATGTTTAGCGGCATTTATGGTCTGTATCTACTAGATACCAATAGCATCTTCCTCCAGGGTGACAACCAAAATGTCTCCAGACATTGCCACATGTCCCCTTGGGGGCAAAATCACTCCCCATTGAGAACTAGAATAGACAAATCAGAGAACTGCTTACTAATATCAAACACCCCAAAGGCTACCCATGAGGCTAATATGACATCTTCCCCCTGACTGCTGTAGCTCTTTCTACTTTTCAGCATCCATTTTGTTGGCTCAGGACTATGGCTTCTTTTTTTTAAATATATTTTATTGATTTTTTTTTTTTTTACAGAGAGGAAGGGAGAGAGATAGCCGCAGGCCAACGCTCTGTCCACTGAGCCAAACTGGTCAGGGCAGGACTATGGCTTCTATTAGAACATGCCCTTGTCAGAGAACATCAATCAGTATTCCTCACTGTCAATGGGTTGATTAAAAAATTTGTGGAGTTTTCCAAATTGGCTATTGGCTTTTGTCAGTTCACTTCACCCTCTGAGACTTGGTTGTTTCATTTGAAAAATGAAAACTAACACAAAATTCTTCCTGTTCTAAACCACCATTCCTTCTAGCATTCTTTTCTGAGAACTGGTTTTTATAAAGAGTAAGAGGGGAGGATGATGATACTGGACCCATGGAGGGAGAAACAGAACAAATAGCATCCTAGCGGGAATGTTAGGTGGGTAGGAGGGAGCACCGGCATGTGCCGGCAGATGGAAGAGGATGGATGCTACAATTTAAGCTTTGAGCTCTAGCTGAGGTCAGCAGAGCCCTCCAACAGAGATATCCAAAGTTCATTTCCCAGGTTTGCTCTTTATAATTCTTTCTTTTGGTGAAATGACAGCAAATAGGAAGTGCTTTGGTTTCCTGGGTTACAAATTCTGTGAGAAGTAGGGTGAGAGGGCTACACTTTTCCTTTTCCCCAGTGTTTTCTTGCAAAATAGGCTTTCCTACCACAGACTCATAGCGTTATGTGGCTTCTGCTCAATCTGTAATTCTGAAACTTCAAGCCAGAGACTTTCCAGTGGGGATAAAGAGCCTATTGGTATGTGGAGGGCAATGAAATGGGGGAGACTTTACTTATGATTATTGTTCTGTAAGGCCTACCCTAACTGTTTATATTTTAAATGTGTCCTCCTTATTCAATCTCCATTGAAGAGTTCAGAATTCAAATAAAAGAGTAGATGGGGTGGTTGATTGTCTTGGCATTCCTTGTGTGACCTCCCAACCATACCATCTGTAGGCAGCTTACTACCTTGAGACTATAAATGATAACAGTGGACTGGATAGGCTCCCCATAAGTATATAAACATGCTGCTACTTATTCCATCTAAAAAGAAAAAAAACTTTTTTTATATCTCACTTCCCCAGTCAGCCACCGATCACCCATTTAAGTCCCCTTACAGCAAAATTTCTAAAAAGAGTCATCTTTACTCAGCCATCTCCAACTACTCCCTTCAGTTTTTCTCAAGACGCTCTACCGAAACCACCCTTATCAAGGTCCCCAGTGCCCTGACCTCCACATGGCTAAAGCCAGTGATCAGTTCTCACTTCTCGACTTATTTAACTTGCCAGCATCTGGGCAGAATTATTTATTTGTCCCACATTCTTTTGATTTTTCTCCCTGGTCACTTTCTCAGCCTGTCCTCCTCTGGTTGGTACTTGTCTCCTTAACCCCTTAATGTTGGGGTGCCCCAGGATGAAGTCTTTGGACCTCTTCTCTGTCCACAGTTGTTACGCCCTTGGGCAGTTCACCCATTCCCCAAGTTCACATACCATCTATATACTGATGATTCCCAAGTGTATCTTTCTAGCTCAGACATGTCCTGGGAACTCCAAATTTTTCACCGTCAACTGCCTCCTGTAAATCTCCCTTTGGAGAGACTTACCATGTCTAAAACTCAACTTCTGATCTTCTTCACTCCCACATAAACCTGCTCTACTCATAGTCTTTCTACCCTAATTGCTAAGAAGTTTATCTCCCAATCACTGAGCCCCCAAACCTTAAAGGCCTCTCTTCTTGTACCCCAGAGGAAAACCGTCAAGAAATTATGTTGGCACTGTTTTCAAAATATATCCAGAATCTGACTAATTCTCAATAGGTTCGCTGTTCTCCCTTGATCCCAATACTATCATCTAATCTTGATTACTGCAATAGATTCTTAACCCATCTTTCCCATCATTTCCAAAACCTTCCAGTGGGTTCTCCCCAGTCTGGCTCTTCATTTCCTACTACCATATTCAGTCAGCTCCATCCACACTGGTTTCATGCTCATCCTTAGACATATCAGACATGCTCCTACCGAAGAGCCTTTGCATTTGCTGACCTTTCCATCTGGAATACTTTTCCCTCAATATTAATGGCTACTTCCCTCACCGCCATAAAGTCTTCATTAAATGCCACCTTCACAATAACCCCTACCCTGACCACCCTATTTAAAATAGTGGCCATACACGTTTTCTGCTCTGTGTTTTTTCTCTAACACGTATCACCTCCTAAATGACATAGACTTTCTTTCTTTATCATTGTTTATTTTGGTATCCCTCCTGATAGACTGTCAGCAATTACAAGAGCCAGAATTCTATTGATTTCCACTGTCTCCCAAGCACCCAGAACAGTGCCTGCCACATGCTAGGCCTTCAGTAAATGTTTCTGAATGAGTAGAAATTTCAATCATCTCAAGCATCTACAGAAATAATTCCTATTAAGATTTTAGTTGATATCTTTTCAATTTTTTCTTTTCTTCTTCATAAAATAAGAATCATACCATGTTATAGCTTTTATTTTGTTTTTCTTACTTTGACAATACCTTGTTGACATTTTCTCATTCTGTTATTCTTCTATATTCTACCAGAATATAGAACTTTATAGAATTTTAGACTCTAAATTCTAAAAGTAACAACACTAAAGTAAGTTTCCTATTATAGAAATCTTGATGTACATTCTGATTATTTCCTTACAATAAATTGCTAGAAGCAGAATCACTGGACCAAAAGGTGTGAAGAAGGAACTTTAAAAATTGTTCTTATATATTGCCAAATTGCCCTGTGGAAAAGTTTTACCAATTAACACTTCCACCAGTGGAATATGAGAATGTCTGCTCAGCCTTGCCCATAAGGGATATGTTTTATTTTTTTAAATGCCAATTTGATTTGCAAAAAGAAAAAAAAAATGGTGGCCAGTTTATTTTTAATCTGTACTGCTTTGATAGCTGGTGCATTTGAATTATTTTATTTTTAGTCAATAAACACACAAAAATATTTTTAAAACCAGATAGTTCTCAAAATTTACAGCCTTTGCTTTCTTTCTAATTCCCCTCCCTTTATAAAGCAGTTTCTGCATTAGACCACTAGCATGTGGATCCTCAGCTGCATTGCCCCAGGGAACAGGTGGTGACAGCTTGCAAGGTTTCTGTTAGACAAGCAAAGTGGAAATGCTGGCTGAGAGGAAGAAGGGGGATGAAAAAAGAAATGAATTTGGGTGCATTCTGAGGGAGTCAGCTGAGCGACCTAGGAACAACTCACAGGCTGAATAAGGTCATCAGGTGTAATGAGTTTTTAGTCTTCACATGACTCTCCTACCGATAGCACTTGACACCGTTGGCTCTTCACATCTGGAGCCTAAACTTGGTTGTCCTTCTTTACTGGCCCCAACTGCTCCTGGTCCAAATCTTCAACACTGGATTGACTCCAGGTTCATTCTTCATTGTCTTCCTCTTTCAGTCCGTACTCACTTCCTTACTGATCTTATTCAGTTTCCTGGCCGCCGATATTGTCTTTAGGCTGACAACTCCCATGGTTAGAACTCCAGCCAGGATCTCTCCCTGGAACCATAGACTTCGGATGTTAACAAATCTACTTAGATGTCTGTCAGGTATCTTAAATTTAACATGTCCAAAAGCAAGCTGCTGCTCTTCACCGCCACCCCCTTAGTATGTTTATTGCAGTTACCGAACAGAAAGCATAGGCAAACTGGCAGTAGTTAAAAGCTGGATGAATCAGACTCTAGAACATGGGTGGGCAAACTTTTTGACTTGAGGGCCACAATGGGTTCTTAAACTGGACCAGAGGGCCGGAACAAAAGCATGGATGGAGTGTTTGTGTGAACTAATATAAATTCAAAGTAAACATCATTACATAAAAGGGTACGGTCTTTTTTTTTTTTTTTAGTTTTATTCATTTCAAACGGGCCAGATCCGGCCCGCAGGCCTCAGTTTGCCCACGGCTGCTCTAGAACCAGACTGAACTGTGCTTAACTCTGGGTTCTATCTATTACTAACTGTAAAACCTTAGCCAGGTTAGTTCAGTCTTTCTGAAACACAATTTCTTTATTTATAAATTAAAGATCACAATATTACCTCCCTGGGGATGGGGGAGTTTCAGTTTCAGGGCAGTGTGTGGGGTCTGCCGGATGCTGCATGTATCTTTCCCAATTGTAGATTCAGGGACTGCGGAAATAAACAAGGGTGGGTATGAGCCCCTTGGGTACCCCGTGCAATGGACTTGGTTCAAATCTTCATTTACTACCTGTCCTCCATAAGCCCTTATCTACTAGAGGCATCCTAAACTCCCTAGTATCAATATTAGTTCACCCTTGTTACCTAACATTCTTTTAAAAATTGAGATATTTGCCTGACTAGTGTGC